TTTCATTACTGAATAAATGAACTCTATGGAATTATTATAGCTAAAATATCAGTGTTTGTCTTTCACCTAGTTTATCTGCACTTCATAAAAATGCTTAAATATTACTTCATCATCCTTAAATTTGATTTTCAGTATGTGAATTCTGAACTAAGTCTTGAATATTTATGAAGTAGTTCTGATTTTTACAGGTGTTACAGGCCCTTAGGAATATTTAACTTAATTTGGAACAGGCTTGTACATTTTTTGCTGATTTTTTTTTAATTGAAAACCAGGCTATAATATGTGAAATCTAGTTATACTGACATCGATTTTTGTGTCTCTCTGTAGCAGTGGTTCTCAACCTATGGGTCGTGACCCCTTTGGGGGTCGAATGACCCTTTCACAGAAGTCGCCCGATTCATAACAGTAGCAAAATTACTACTATGAAATAGAAACCAAAATAATTTTATGATTGGGGTGTCACCACAACACGAGGAATTGTATTAAAGGGTCATGGCATTAGAAAAGTTGAGAACCACTGCTTTATAGTAGTTTAGTCAGGCAGGCATAAAAGTTTCTGCTTTTTACAACATTTTGATTGAAATGCTATGAGTACTGAGTTTCACATAATTTATATCACTACAGATCAGTCCTGACTCATAGTGATCTTATGCACAATAGAATGTCCTGTACCATCCTCACAATTGTATATTTTAGTCTTTTGTTGGCAGACATTGTGTCCTTTCAGTCCTCTCATTGAGAGTCCGCCTATTCTTGGCTGACCTACTGTCCCAAGCATAATGTTCTTTTCTAGGGACTGCACTCTCCTTATCAAATGTCCAAAGTACGTGAGCCTAAATCTTGGCATCCTCCCTCAAAGAAGTGCATTGGCTATACTTCCTCCTAGACAGATTTGTTTGTTCTTTTGGTGGTTAAGGAAAGTTATTTTTATACCTTTGAACTGCTTCAAAACTGTTCAGACATACAGCCATACATTGCATACCAACCAAATCGCTCATGTGTATGAGATTGACTTACACTTGCCTTGTTCCCGGATGATGTTGCAGTCAGTGGCCACCATCCTTGAGCAGGGCACCATTCATTTCTTGTTTCTTACTCAGGTAAAAATTTCAGGCACAGGAAATAAACTGAGATTTTACATTGTCTACATATATGAAAGTTTTCTATTTCCGAAAACAGACTGATTATATAGCTAATTTATAATACAAGTGTGTTAACAAGAGAGAATTTGGACCATAACTAAAAAGCATGAATGACTATATGTAAGGCCCTTCTTTTAACAAACTTCATTTGAAATTTTTTGCAGCTTCAATTTGCTTGAATAAAAACTCTTTAGTTTGCTTCTGTTTTTAATGTTTAAATACACCTGCTTTGGTGGCCCTGCAGGAGCTCTAAATAGCGTAATTGGTTATGCATTAGACTGCTAACCACAAGGTCAGCACTTCGAATCCACCAGTCAATCCATGGGAGAAAATTCGTCTAATCTTATCACTATTGATAGCCTTGGGAACCCTAGGGAACAGTCCTCCTCTCTCTTAGAGGTTACTGCAAATCTGAACTGACCTACTGGCTGTGAGTATGATTTTGGTCTAGTTTTCCGAGGTGGCCTCAGGAACTCCTAGACTGTTCTGGTGATTGCTTTAGGTGTCAGGGTTCATTAAAGATAAAGTCCTGCTGAGTGTCTGAGCAGTAAGCCACAGGGAAGGTGGAACGGCTTTGGAATCTGGGATTGTGTGACTATTTGGTCCTTGCTTGTGGGACAGGATGAGTGTTTGGGGTTCTAGAACACAGAAATCCATCACCCTAGGGTAAGAAAACTACCATGACTATTATTAAACCAACGATCTACAGTAACCTCCTTTTTGTTATGCAAGAAATAAGGACCGTATATACTCGTGCATAAGCCGAGTTTTTCGGCACATTTTTAATGCAGTTTTTATGGTGAAATTAGGTGCCTCAGCTGATATTTTAGTATATACGGGATTTGTTTTCATGAGACTTTTTTCCATCCTTCTCTAATTCTGAGTTTTATCTAGGGATATAAACTTTGTACGGCTCAGGTCATCCCAGGAGAGCATAGGCCAATATAGAATCTGAGGCAGCTGCCTCGATTCTACTGAGGAGTCTTTTGCCTTTTGGCCTCTCTCCTTCTACCGTCTAAAGGAAATATTAATAATTTAGTGATTTTCTTAGATAAATTCAAACGATAGGAGAATTCTAAGAACACCATTTACTCTCATATGTTCTTCATCCTGATTCCCAGCTTTTAACATTTGGCCACACATGCTTTATCCCTTCTTTTTCTTCTTCTCTCTCTCTGTATGTGTGTGTGTATACACATGTCTAACACAACATACATGACTAGATGTAAGGGTCTTATAACAGACTTCATGTGATATTTTTAATATATTTGTTAATTGTTAACCATTTTTTATATTGTTGAGAATATATACAACAATATGCCCTAATTCAAGAATTCAAGTTCCTACATGTAAAATTCATTAACATTAATTTCATTTACTCTTTTGAGTTGTTCTGCCCTCATCCACATAAACTCACTGTCCCTAAGTTTTCTATTTAATCTTTTAAGTTGCCCTACTCATAGCTTTTAAACGATCATAAGAATTCCAGGCATCCCGACACAATCGCTGAAGGCAAAGCAGGTACATAAGCAAATGTGGTGAAGAAAGCTGATGGTGCCTGGCTATCAAAAGATATAGCATCTAGGGTCTTAAAGACTTGAAGGTAAACAAGCAGCCATCTAGCTTAGAAGAAACAAAGCCAACATGGAAGACGCACACAAACCTGTGTGATCACCAGGTGCCAAAGGTATCAGATATCAAGAATCAAAGAACAAAAAATAATATCATTGTGTGCTTACCTCCCAGATATAATCACTGAAAACAAATGGGTGCATAAGCAAATGTGGTAAAGAAAGCTATATCAAAAGGTACAGTGTCTGGGGTCTTAAAGGCTTGAAGGTAAACAAGCGGCCATCTAGCTCAGAAGCAACAAAGCCCACATGGAAGAAGCACATCAGCCTGTGTGATCAC